TCCTCCTCCTCCTCCTCCTCTTCCTCTTATTCTTCTTCTCTTCCTCTTCCTCCCTCCTCCTCCTCCTCCTCCTCCTCCTCCTCTTCTTCTTCTTCTTCCTCCTCCTCCTCCTCCTCCGCCTCCTCTTCCTCCTCCTCCTCCTCCTCCTCCTCCTCCTCCTTGCAAATCCCACTCCCCTTTGGCACTGATGATGTTACCTAGTTGGGTAATGAATTGCAAGAAACCAAGCTCAGAGACCACCTAGGAATACACCGTCTTTCTCCTCCTCTTCCTCTGCAAACCCTTCTAGCACTGATGAAATTACCTAGTTGGGTCATGAGATGTCTGCAATAAAACCAAGTTCAGAGAGCACCAAGAGCCCTAGAGTCCTCCTCCTCCTCCTTCTTCTTCCTCCTCCTCTTCCTCTTATTCTTCTCTTCCTCCTCCTCCTCTTCTCCTCCTCCTCCTTGCAAATCCCACTCCCCTCTGGCACTGATGATGTTACCTATGTTGGGTAATGAATTGCAAGAAAACCAAACTCAGAGACCATCAAGGACTACACAGTCTTTTTCCTCCTCCTCCTCCTCCTCCTCCTCCTCCTCCTCCTCCTCCTCCTCCTCGCAAACCCCACTCGCTTCTAACACTGATGATGGTACCTAGTTGGGTCATGAGATGTTTGGTAGAAACCCCCACACACAGAGACACAGCTGAGAAAGCACCAAAGTAGGACCCTGAGCTACAGAATTCTCTGATGGTGAAATTTCCGGACAGCGAGCACAGAAGTTTTGGAGTTTGATTGTGGTTGTAAGTCGAGGAATTACCTGCAGGAGGACCAGAGTTAAAACCCTTAAAAATCAAGACGGTAGAATAGAGAATTTCAAAATAACATTTTACGAGCTGTGGTTTTGGGGCTACAGATAAAAAAAAAAAGTCATCAGGAAATAGCATTAAGAGAAGAAATAAAAGGGAGATGTCGTCCCTAAGTGCCTACAACCCCAGAGGAATGAATGGAGACACTCAAAATGTGCTATTTCTTTTATTTTTTAGAGACTGAGGGTTTCCTTTCTTTCTCTTCCCTTTTCCCTTGAAATGTTTGCCCCAGGAAAATGCATTTACTATCTTCCCAAAGTCTATTATTCTGCTAATCCAGATGGATTAAGTCCATTTAAAAATGCCACCAGCTCTTGCCATTAACTTTAGAAATTAAACCAGCTGGTTTTTTTTCTTATTGACAAGTGGATTCAAATCCATGGGTTTTTAGCTCATAAGCACAGCTCAGATGAACCTTTCTCGCTATATAAAAGCAAAATACCCCTCACGCATCATCATAAAATCTCCAGAACCGTCAAGCCTACAAACTTGAAATTTGGCACGTATGATCCTCTTGGCTTCTAGGGGCTCACTAAGAAAGGATTTTTTCCAAATGATCCTCAGAGCATTTAGAGTATTTCCTATATTATTATTGTTATTGTTATTGTTATTGTTATTGTTGTTGTTGTTGTTGTTGTTATTATTATTATTATTATTATTATTATTATTATTATTATTATTATT